CTGGGCGTTGCCCAGGTAGCAGAAGCCGAACTCGTCGCCGTCGTCGAGGTCGCAGGCCGCGACCGTCATGTCGTCCGTGAACGTGTTGTACTTGCTGTCGATGATGCGCGTGCCCATCTTCCCCCGCGCGGGCACGATGCTCTGCCACCGCAGCTGGCCGCCGTTGGGCGCCACGAAGTCGCCGACCTTGCGGCGGCACTCGAGGATCGTCGTCTTCGTCGTGACTTCTAGGTCGAAGAACGGGCTGCCGTCGTGCGGGTTCACGATCTTCAGCGTGACGGGCTCGTCCTTCCGCTCGACGAGCGTGCCGAAGCCGAGCGCGCTGCCGTCTATCAAGCAGAACTCCGCGGCGCCCAGCTTGACCCAGCCCTGGCTCTGGGCTTTGACGACCAAGGTCTCGCCCTGTTTCCTGGTTCCCACCAAGCGAGACTTCACGTCCGGCTTCGCGCGGACGGCGACCATCTTGTGGACGACGACCCAGTTCTGCGGCTTCCGCGGGCCGCGCGTGTCCTCCTCGTCGAAGGCGCTCATGCTCGTCACGGCGCGGCAGCCCGGACGGCGGAGAGCAAGCAACAAATCAATGTTGAGCCTCACCTTGAGGCATTTGCCTGTGTCCTTTCCATCTGTCCTTTCCCATGGACAGCGAGGCGAGGCCGTGACGTGTAGCGCGACGTCCGGTCCAGCGTCCGCCCTTCGTGTCGTTTCATCCCGCGGCTGCCGACGATGATCCTATTTTTTAAGCTTAATCTTTACCGATCGGACCACTTATCCGACTGAGCGACAGCATCGACACACGACTGAGGCGCCGCATAGACGCGCGCGCCTCGACGCGACCCCCGCGCGCGCCGCGCCGCGACCCGCCGCCCGCCCCGCAGGATGGCGACGGTGACGCTCTACGTGTCCTACGCGGCGCCCGGCGGCGAGGCGCCGGAGCTCCGGGTCGACGTGCCCGCGACGAAGTCCGTGCGATCCGTCGCCAAGGCCGTCGCCAAGCTCGTGGAGCGCAAGCACGGCGCGGCGCCCGCGGGCCTGCGCCTCCTCTACGCGGCGTCCGGGGACGCCGTCGACGTCGACGCGACGGCCGCCGCCGCCTTCGCGACGGAGACGCGCCTCTCGGCCGCCGTCGACGCCGCGCCGCCGCCCGCGCCCGTCTCGGCCGCCGTCGACGCCGCGCCGCCGCCGGCGCCCAAGGCGTCGAAGCCCAGGCCTTCGAAGGCGCCGCCGCCGTCGCCGCGCCTCGACGGGCTCTGCGTCGTCGCCGCGAACCAGGGCCTCATCGTCCGCGCGGGCCGGTCGCTGGAGACCGCGCTCGTCGGCGAGGTCGCGTTCGGCGCCGTCGTGCGCGTCTCCGGCCACGTCGCCGGCGACGGCCGCTGCGCCGTCGCCGGCGACGGCCTCGAGGGCTTCGGCTCGTCCAAGTGCCTCGCGCCGCTCGTCGACGAAAACGACCCGCTCTGCGCCGCGTTCGAGCACGCGCTCGCCGAGCCCGACGGGCCCCAGGCCAGCGTCTGGGTCCGCCACGGGGGCGCGGAGGCCCGCGCGGACGCCGTCGTCGCCGCGGCGCGGGCCGCGGGGCCCGCCGCGTGGGCCGCGCGGCTCACGGACGGGACCCGCGTGCCCGTGGCGCGCCTCGCGCCGGTCTACGTCGAGTCCGGCGGCCCGGCGGACGGCGGCGGCCCGCCGACCTGCCACTGGGACGTCGCGCTGCGGCTCGCGGCGGACGTCGCGGCCGGCGCGCGCGACGCGCCGGACCGGCGCGGCGCGGCCGCGTGGGCCGCGCGCGCGGAGGCCGCGGTGGCGCGGCGCGCCTGGGCGGCGGCGGCCATCGCCTCCACGGCGGCCATCCTCCTCTCCCAGTCCCACAAGGACCTCGCGCCGCTCCACGGGCGCCGCGCCGCGGCGCTCTGGCGCGCGCGCGTCGCGGACGCCGCGGAGCCGCCGG